TTTTTATCAATTTTTTTTTTTGGCTCAATACCTTTCATGCCCATTATAGCATTCATTTCTGTGTGGATTTTTCTTTAAAAAAACGTTGATTAAAGGCACAAAAATTTTAATTTTCAGTTACCACGGACTCTTAAGCTAAGGAAATAACTAATCTTTGGCGGTCATTTTCTCACTAATTTTACCTCTGAAAACAGGTGACCCCCACCTCCTTCTTTTGCAAATATCTCGAATTGTATTCAAGATAAATGGATATTTTTTTCATCCAAATAAAGACAAGTGAACAAGCTTTAAGATAATAACTCTACATGCCCAAAAATTGACGAGAGCCTGATTCCACCACGCTGCCTCACATATAGCTGTACGGTTATGTGGATGGTAATTTTACAATAAAATGTACTTGTAAACGGCTGAAGGTTCGTAACAAGATGCCCGTGTGTGTCCTATACCTGTCTCATATCTTGCCTAGATCCATTGGGTGGCGCCAGTAGCCTTGCGCTTAGGCTACCAGACACGTAATCGTGAGATTGCGGGTTCGGGGTGTCGTGCCTCCGCTCGGTCTGACGTTGTGTCCTTGGGGAAGGCACTGTACACACATTTCCCATTTGGCTCGGTCCTATCACACATCTATCGTCCTGATCTCTCCACCGTCTTTTTTGTGTTTGTTACTCTCTTGTAATACCCCAAATCGGCGTCACTTAAATGACGGTATTGTGTTGGAAGTGCCATAAAACTCTTACTAAAAACATTTTTAACAACGAACGGCCGCAAAACAGATTTGGTAACAAATTTAAAGGGGGGAAAAAGGGTGATCGATAGCACTCTTGAGGTTATCAAGTGCAGTCACGCTATGAGTGTAAGTCCTTCACCGACCAGGGTCGTGAGCTCTGTTAAAGATACACCGCAGCACGATATCAGGGCTGACGTCTGAAATGCCAATTATGCAAATTAGGCCGGGATCTTAGGAGGAGCTGTCAGAAGTGACCATTTACTGTTAACGCCAGAGGTCGGGCCGGTCACTCTGGTCTGAGTCAACAGCCGGCCTAGATAGCCCCTGTCAGGGTTGAAAGAGCTGGGGTAATGTGTCCGATGAATAACAAGGGGAAAAAACTTGTGTTTATCATGTGTTTTTTGGGGGAGTATGAAGGGTAAATACAAGTCTTTTCTCATTATCAGTGTAGAGGGAGGTTGGAACTTGGTTCTTGGGTTTGTTGTTGGATCGTTGATGTCATCATTGTCGTTGTTGTTGTTGTTGTTGTTGTTGTTGTTGCTGCTGCTGCTGTTGCTGTTGTTGTTGTTATTGTTGTTGTTGTTGTTGTGTGTGTGTAGTAGCCTATCCGTTCGAAATGTTTGGAGCTCCGAAGAGCGTGCTCTTCTCCAGGGCTACCGCCTCCCTTGGGTAGCGGGTGAGGCAGTCCAACCTCCCTGAATCCTCCCCGAAGAGATGCCATCGCCGGACCTCTTTGGCGGGGCATCTCTGCAGCCAGTGCTCCAGATCTTGGGGTTCCTCGTGGCACAATGGACAGGTTGGGTCCGATGTTTTGTCAACTCTATTTTTGTAGGCCCGCAGCCCAGAGTGACCGGTCCTGATTTTTGCCAGTAATGACTGGTCACTGCGGGACATAATAAGAGCCTCTCGTTTTAAGGAAAATGCCCTGTATATTTCCTTCGTCCGCGTGTGGCATATTTGGGGGGGTCTTTTGTAATGAGTTTTATCTGGGCGCACGCACTTTCATAAGTAATTTGGCGGCCTGGACCCGGCAGCGCTGTTGCCAGATTGTTGTTGTTGTTGTTGTTGTTGTTGTTGTTGTTGTTGTTGTTGTTGTTGTT